AAAAAAAAAAAAAAAAATAGAAATATTAATGTCTAGCTCATTTAATTTCTATGTTTATAATCCAGATTCCTAAGCATTCTTTAGTTTGTAATTATCATCTCTGAACCTTTAATATAATAGTTTTTCTATCCCTCACTTCTTTATGTTTTACATGTCTTTCACTAGAAATATCAATACCCTAAAACATGACACTCATAAACAGAGAGTAAAACATGGCTGCAGAAGGTCTAAAAATGAAGCACTATGAAATCAGTCACTTCATGAGGCCTCAGCATGGTCCTGCGATYTACTGTGTTTCTGTAAAGTTTTGTCTTTCATTTTCTAAGAAATTATTTTGGCCTTCATTCTTGTTATATCTCTGATCTTCAGATCTCTCAGGAAGAAACTGTAAAGTATATTTTTTAGTTGTAGGTGGACACAATACCTTTATTTTATTTTTATGTGGTGCTGAGGATCAAACCCAGTGCCGCATGCATGGTAGGTGAGCACTCTACCACTGAGCCACAACCCCAGCCCAGAAACTGTACTTTTTAATAAATTATATGTCTTAATATCAAAAAATTTTCTCATCTTACATTCACTAAATCCTAAGTCTGTTGTCATCTGCACCATTCTCTATTTCCATGATCCTATCTGGCTTCTTAAACACTTCATTCAGTTATCTTCCCTTCCTGAATCTTCAACCTCACCCTCTATACTAGATCCTAGCCCTTGGTATTCACAAATGCTCTGGTGTCTCCCATTTTACAGGACATCGTACAGTCTATCATCGTCTGTCCACTTGCAGTAACCACCTCAGTAATCCTCTAATTGCCAAACCACTTCCTACCATCTCTTCCTAGGTTCTTGTACTTCCTGTCTCTACTTCATCTTGCTTTTTTAATGCACTGAAATCTGGCTTCTGTCCCCATCAACTCACCAAAATGGTTTTAATTAAAATCAATGATTTCCATTGAAATCACCAATGATTTACTTAAATCCATTATCTAGTTTTCAGTTCTCAACCTACTTGTCCTCTCAATGTACATCATAATTTTGCACTCATTAATCTTTCCTACAAAATTATTTTCCACTCTGGTACTATGCTCTTAATAAATCTACCATCCTACAAATATATACATTTGACCAGGAGGAAATCATAAAATAATGGTTGGTGCTTTAAGAATTTCAAGTTAAAAAGCAAGTTTTACACTGATAATCTTATGATTCGAATCTAAAATAGCCCTCAAAAGCTCATGTATTCAAGACTTAGTCCTCAAAGGAGGAGTGTTCAGAGGTGTAGCTTTTGAGAGGTGACAGGGCAGTGATCTCATCAGTGGATTAGTCCATTGATGGATTCATACCCTATAGGGTTTGGGGGGCAGAGGCTTTCTTATTAAAGTATGCTCTCTGCTTCCTGGCTGCCSGGAGGGTAAGCAACTATCGTCTGCCATGCAATTCTGCCATGATGGACTCTGTCAGTATAGACCCCAAAGCCATCAGGCCAAGTGATCACAGACTAAAACCATGAGCCAAAATGTACCTTTTCTCCCTTTAAGTTGTTTGTATCAGGTATTTTGTCACAGCAACAGAAAGCTAACACAAATATCTTATCAAAACATTTTAAGTACATTGTTGTCATGTGTAGTGACTACTAAAAAGTTCTTACATATATACTAGTTTTCTTTTGGATTAGTTCTCAAAGAACAATTAACATATCCCATTGTTATTGTATCATGTCATCAGTGAAGAGTGCCCTCTCAGTGAGAGGGAACCTGCCTTTCTGCCAAGATATCCAGGAAGAATGCACATGTTGATTCTGGTTGTGTATTAATGTTCAGCCCAGCATTTTTATTTTTATGTCAAAAGGCTGAGAGTGATAAAGATCTCTACAAGCAACAGCCACCATAAAACCTCATAAATCATTTTTAATAAGGCCATCAATTTCAGTCAAGACCTAAACAAAGTTAAAAYGTGTAACCAAGTTGTTAGCTCTGCTATGAAACGAAACCAAGACAAAATAAATTAATCATTTTGTAAATGACTTACTCTGTAGTGACAGCAGGAGCTAAGGGATCAAACTCCATTACCTCATAGTAATTGGGTGACTGGAGATCATTCTTTGTCATTGCTGTAGGTGAAAAAAGAGACCCTAAACACACATGCTTGTCGAGTTGTACTCATATATTCTTTTATAATTAATATATTGAACAGTTTTAACTTAGACTTGAAATATAAGATTCTAATAAGTACAATCCAAAGTAAAACAGACCATTGTTTTAATAATTGTCCAGTTCAAAAAAAATCCATAAAAGATTTCCAAACCTTAACTAAAGGTTTATTTGCCTTTGTGTTCTACATAAAAATTCAATTTAACACAAGCCTTTTTATAATTTCCTAATGTCAGGCATAATGGTAACAGCCCTGAATTTACTTCAAAAATGCGATGAGCTACTCTGATGTCTCCCCTTTATCTATGTTCAGTTATCTTTACATCTCTGATATATCATACATTCTCTTTAAGTTTCCTTATATGATGGCAATTACAAGGTCTCAAGTACCTGGATGATTGCTGGGCAAGGAGGGCGGCGTCTGGTTTGACGGTGTTACTGTGGCAGTCTGTAGG